AAAAAAAAAGAAGAAGAAATATACAAAAATCCCAGGTCTATTCGCTGGCCTTCAAGACTGTCAGGAGCTGCCCCTCCCGGCCTGGAGCGCCCCTTGGGGGTCCTCAGAGGCTTCCTAGCTCTGCCTTGCTCCAGCTGCTGATCTGGTACGTCCCTTCTTGGTTCGCTCCGTTTTGGGGGTTTCAGACCGCGCTGCCTCCCCACCATGTGACCCCAGAAATGTCCTCTGTCGCTGTCTGCTCCAGTAAGGGGGCAGAGCGACACGTGCTGTTGTCAGCTGCCCAGTCCCCTCTGTGTCCCATTAGCTCCCGGCAGGGACGTCATCCTCGGAGCCTGGTGTGCCCGCGTGGGGTCCAGTCCGGTTCTCTTTCTCTTCCTCCCTCCCGGCCTGCCTCTGTGTGGGTGTGGCATGCTGGTCGCTGTCCCCAACCTGCAGGTTCAGTGCCGCTCTCTGCCACACCCGCTTCCAGGGAAGGTCAATTTGACTCTGGTTAGGGCCAGCTCTCTCTTTTCATGCATTCTTCCAAGTGGCCATGCTGTCATGGTTTGGTGCATCCCAATTCTGTGGAGACAAGACCAATTCTCTTCACCCTGGTGGATCAGTGCCCTGCTCCCTCCATCATTTCACTTTCACCCTCCACCCTATCTCCCTCCCTCCTCGCTCCTTTTCCCATTTTTGTGTTGGGCCAACATGTACCTTCTTGGGTTTGGTCCAACCTCCTCCCAACTCCCTGTAGCTCAACCTGTATCTCTTCTATACCCACCATGCTGATTCCACTTACCTCAGGGGACTCATGCTGTACTTCTTTTGTGGTTGGCTGATTTTGCTTAGCATAATTTCATTCAACTCTTCCCATGAAAAATGTGTTTCATGTGCTCATCAGTGCTGGGGAGACCTGGGAGGTGAGGGCAGTGGGGGAAAGGGGTGGTGAGCAGGCTGCGCCATGCACAGGGGAACAACTGGGGTGTTGGTGTCAATAAAAAGGGGGAGATAGGCATCCAAGGGGGGTGGGTGTAGCAACAGCAAACTAGCTAACAGGAGGGACCAAGAGGCAGAAATAAGGGGAAAGGGACAGTGGGGCAGGAGGAAGGTAAAAGGAAACAGAGGAAGGACCTAGGAAGCAAAGCAATGGATAGAGGTGTAAACATTGGGGTGTATATATGCAAATACATTAATCCACAAAAACAGAGGCATTGGCCCATGTACATATATTTATATGGCAATACACTGAGGTAGGGGATGGGACTTCTGGCCTCTGCTCATACCCTCCCTTAATACAAGAATATTTTGGTCTAATTGGCAGTCTGAGATGTTAACCCTCCAGACATCATCACTGAAGACAAAAACAGGTGCATACACCAGCCTACCCCTACCTGAT